TTTTTTTTTTTTTTTTTTTTTTCTTTTCTTTTTTGGACATGCTCCAATCTATTCGTGGGGAGCAACACGTGCTGGGAACCGGGCCCAGCGTTCCATTCAAAAACATATTGAAGAAATTTTGCAGAAACCTTTAAGATACCGACTCGTGAAAATTTTCTAGAGTTGTCAAAGTCACAAAAAGTCCTAAAATCTACGGAATGCCGCGCTAGCGCTATACTCTAGAATAGCTAGAGTTGCTCCATCGCTTTTTGAGTTCGGCCATTTCACTACAGGACAGCGCCAGCCTGGGTTGTCCGTCCAGACTCAAGGCCCACTCGAGGAAAGCCAAGGTGTTTCAAGGGTCCTCCAGACCTCCCTAAAAAAAAACTGCCTTTTGCAGGCTGGTGCTCTAGATCAATCTAGAGTGAGGAGGACCGACCCACTCTGATAGCTCAAGAAATGAAAATTCTAGAGCGAACTTATTGAGTAAGTGGAGCGATGACAACTCTATTACTTTTCTAGAGTCGTTCTGAGAGCTCTCAATCAGGTTTTCGAGCGCCCATTTCTTGACTAAGGGTAGGACGCCACAGGACGGCGGCAAACGGATTCGGAAGCCGCGAGGCGACTTCCCGGACCCCACAGACCAAAATCTCCATCGCGGAAGACAAGCGGCGAGCGTTTTCACTTGGCCCGTGGCTCCTTTTTTCCTAAATGGACCTAAGAACCTGTTTCCAAATCTCAGTCCGTTTACCTACCTTCCGGGTGCGTTCTCCGGCCCACGCGGATGGAAATCAGCAGTCTGCAGGCCGGACATGTAGCGGTCCTTCATTCGTGCCATCAGGTAGAAGGCCAGACAAGAAGTGCTGTCACACAGTGTCTTGTGGGCCCGGTACTGTAGCACTGTATGGGCTTGGAAGGTCTGTGCGATTCCGGTTTTCAAATAGTCCCGCGCACCAACGGCCTTACGATTTTGAAATTCGTGGTCCAGCCGTGGGGCCGGTATACAACAACGCCGTAGGCTGCCTGCATGCACAAGCCGACTTTTTTCTTCCGTCACTCTTTCCATGCAGAGTGCGAGGAAGGTCATCATCCATAGCCATGTACGGGTCGTTTGTGAGTGGTGTCGGCACGTCATGGGGGGGTCAGCTGCTTCGTCTCTCGACGACAAACTCCACGGGCACGGCAGGCGACGCATTGTGTCACAAACATGGCTTGGCAGACTCGTTTGCGCGTGTTGCAGTCGCCGAAGGTTGCCAGCAAGCAAGAGGGTGCACTGTGCGAGAAGGTGTCGACTTCCGTCCTCTCAGCTTTTCTTTTTCTTTTTTTTTCTTTTTTTTTTTAAAGGCCCTTATGCAAGGCCTCTATCCTGGTGGTGGTAAGAGAACCACCGGGATTGAGGCTTTGCCTGGCGGGCCGCTCCATCTATTGGTGGGGAGCAACACCTGCTGGAAAACGGGTCCAGCATCCCTTAAATCCATCTTTACAAAACAGTTCATCTTGAAAGTGACGCCATTGTGCTGGAAACCAGGTCCAGCGTCCCACATCCAATCTACTCTTCCATACCTAACCTGCAGCAGGGTCGGGTATTGGGGGGAGAAACACCGGGGGGCACCAGTGGGTTCTCCCTCCATCCCCTAGCCTCTGCCATCCCCTACTATCCTCCTGGCGCCTATTGTGTCTTCACACTCTGCAATAGCATGTGTTTGAAAAAACTGAAACAACAGAAACAACAGAAAAAAGGCTGGCCATTGTCGAAACTTGGCGATGGTGTTCACGTTGGCAGCGGACGGACGGACGGCGGCTGTGATTCGGCCTTGTTGAGCGGACAGGGAGGTCGTGGGTGGCAGGTCCGACCCCTTGGTTGATTCGTGTTGACACGTGTGCTAGCCATGTGACGGATCGTCCCACAGTTCTCCTCAGAAACCACGGATGCGTGACATGCAACTCAAGGCCGCTTTGTGATCCAGTGGCTACTTTCCCGGGGTGTTACGGGGCTGTCCCGGTTCGAAGCAGTGATCCAGCATACCATAGCCACCCTACTTCTGCAACGTACACTCCCCTTCCTGCGACGGTCATTGACTGTTCGTCTACTTGGGACTAGGCCTGGCCCAGTCCTGTGCTAAAACCTTTTTTTTTTTTTTTTTTTTTTTTTTGAAGAAACACCCCCTCCAGTGATAGTGGTGCTGGTAAGGGCAGACACCACTAGCACCTTGGGAGAGGCTCCATCTATTGGTGGGGAGCATCACCTACTGGAAAACGGGTCCAGTGTACCATATATCAAATGAATTTTGGAGTACATCAGAAAAATGAGGAGTGAAAAATTCCCGCCAGCATTGATTGCCCTAGAAGCTAGGGGATTGACTGAGCAGGAAGTTGGAAGAAGGAAGAGAACCTCTTCACCCTGAACCAGGCGCCAGATACCTGCTGCAAAAACCTAGTTCCTCCCTTCCCCCACCTGCCCCTTTTACCTCCCACTGAGGGCCACTGCTTGTGATACAGTAGTAAACATCCTATTACACCAAACAGTCTCACACTATTTTTAGCATGAATGTTCGTCTACTTGGGACTGGGCCTGCCCTAATCCCGTGCTAAAATTAGCACAGTCCCATGCTATTTCTAGCGCGGGACTGACTGTTTGTCTGCATGGGACAGGCTGTTCATATCCCAAGGTCGGGATTGGTGCTTTTTTTTTTTTTTTTTTTTTTTTTTTTTAAATACCGGGCCCAGTGGCCAATGCTGATATTACAAATAAGATGATTGAGGCTGGGGTCCTCACAGTCTAAGACCTGGTCTATTTTTAGCCCCGGCCCCAACCATGGGACTGCCGCACTTCGGTCTGACCACCTGGCCTCTCCACTATAAAAGGAGAGGTTGTCAAGGCAGAAGGGGTAGTG